AAATTTTTATTGTGGGCGCCCGCATGTTGTGCTTTCATTTCATTTCGACATTTTCGTATGTTTTTGTCCTTAACTAGCTCCTAATGCAACAAATTGTTGTAGCCACATTAGATCTTTCTCTCTCGTTTTTTATTTTGTATATTAATTAAATCGTTCAAATGAAAATATAGGGTTGGAAATGAACAAGAAAAAAAGAAGCTTGAAACGTCTCATTCATTGTTCTGAACCGTAAGATTAACCCACCTTCCGGTTTGTAACCTCTTTCTGTGTTGCAATTTGTCATATAAATACCTTTTTTCCTAAAAAGAAAAATTTTTACCCTCCTTTTTCATTACTTGACGTTATTATATACAAAAATGTATATTTTTCACCCTTTTTTTTACTTTTAATTCTGAAATTTTTTTTCTTCCTTTTTTGTTTTTTAATTAAGAATAGAGTTTAATGTTCATGCATTGGTGTTATATAATAGTTTTATACTTTCAAATAATTAGGTATGGCTATTGATATGATTTATTTATTTGTTTATGATTAAAGTTAATAATTTATTATAAATAATGATTTATTATTGATTAACAAAGTAAATTTTACATTGGTACGATGTTGTCTATTTTTTTTTATAACAATATTGTATATTTAACTAACAATTCTTTATTTTGAATGGTATCATATTTGATCTTTTTAAGTAAGGTTTGAAGTTCAATTCGATGAAAAACATGATCTGGTATGTAAATTACATTAAGAGTAACCAATCAAGTTTTTTAATAAAAATTAATTATTAACAAGTCGGTAAACATGTCGTACTTGTATCGTGGTAGTCTCCTACCGACCAAGAGGTCTCCCAAGCAAATGTCAAGGACTATGTATTGAGGATAATAAATCACTTAGGCTCGAGCACGAGAGTGCTCGAGCCCAAAGGGTTATGTACCAAGTTAGTCTCTTACCGACCAAGAGGCTTCCAAGGTGAATGTTGAGGACTATGTATGAAAGATAATCAATCACTTAAACTTTTTACACTCTTGCACTCGGGCTTACAGGACTATGTATTGTGCTAATCTCCTACCAATCGAGAGGTCTCCCAAACAAATGTCAAGGACTATATACGAAGTTTAATCAATCACTTAGACTCTTCACACTCTCGTGCTCGAGCTTAGAGGACTATGTACTATGATAATCTCACATATGTCGACTATATCTATCAACCATTAACCAACATCAAGTCTTCAAAAGATTGATCTATACCTCAATCTTTTATAGGTTGACTATCTTTCACTTATGCGAAATATGACAAGTATTTGAACAACCAATAATAAGATCCTTTGATCCTCAAAATAGACAAAATAATGACCATAAATATCAAGGTTCATAATGACAATAAAGATATGACATGATTCACATGATTATAGTAAGAAACATGAAATTTGTGTTTATAATGTCATGTCGATATAAATATAGATGATTAGGTTTAGAAAAGACATTTTGGATACTTGTTAATATTTTGGACCCGAACGGTAACTAAAGTTTTGTAGTGGCTATTATTTATATCGGAACATTCGTGTAACATAATTATAAAACAAATACTATATATATTTAATTTTTGACAAAAAAAATTACAACTACATTATTTTTTTAAACAAGCAAGTAAAAGTTACCTAGGATTATTTATTTTTATTATGACCCATTATTTTTTTCATTTTATTTATTTATTGGAATTAAATTTGGTATCGAAGTATTTACAATACTAACATATACTGTTCAACTAGTTGAATTAGACCACACACAAGTTACATATCATAGTTTGAATATTAATATTCTAAGCTTTTAATTGTCTTAAATAATTGTTTTCCTATATTTATATTTATTAAATCTTAGATTGTCTTTATTTTTAACATTTAATTATTCGTATTTTATTCCATAAAAAGAATTTTTTACTCTATTAATATTTTTTCAAAAAAATATCAAAATAGCACCCTGTACACATTATTTACTCAAGTAGCACCCTTCACTGTTCAAGGTTAGAATTTAGTTCTCCGAAAACTGAATTCTAACCTTCATTGTGTCCTCTCCCGCCGGCGTGGGCTGTCGGAATTTGGCTTCTGGGAAACCGAATTCCAGGCACCAAATTTTGATTCTTTTTCGTTTAGGGTTTAGAGTGCAATGGCAATGTTTGCATGTTGCGGCGGGAGAGTTCGAGGGAGAGGAGGTGAGGGGGGAGGGAGGGGAAGGACTAGGGAGGAAGGGAAGGGGCGGAGGGGGATGCGGTGGAAGGTGATGGCAGGGGTGGTGGTGGTGGGAGGGGTGAGGATGAGGATGGTGATGGCGTTGGACTCCACCACCACCACCATCACCGCCGACTCCAACGCCCACTACATCACCGCCGTCTTCGCCACCACCCTCGCCATCACCTTCCATCGCATCCCCCTCCGTCCCCTCCCTCCCCCCTCACCTCTTCTTCCTCAAACTCTCTCGCCGCAGCATGCAAAACGTCGCCGTCGCACTCTAAACCCAAATGAAAAAAAAATCAAAATTGGTTGCCTAGAATTTGGTTCCTCGGGAACTGAATTTTGATAGTCCACGCCGGCAAGGGAGAACACAATGAAGGTCAGAATTCGGTTTCCGGGGAACTGAATTCTGACCTTGAACATTAAAGGGGGCTGCTTGGATAAATAATGTGTACAAGGTACTATTTTGGTATTTTAAAAAAAAAAATAATAATACAGTAAAAAATTCCCATAAAAATGATGTTTTGGGACTCAAGTTGATTTTAACTAGTATGCGTTGGATGATGTAATTGTTAACTTTTCCTAATACGTATAGGTGACGTCACTACTGAAAATGGTATTTTCTTGAACATGCATCGTCAACTAAAGGGATAAATAATATGACCGTGGATATGGAATCCAAGATTAGATGGGATTGTTGTAAAAAAAAAAAAGCTAAAATGTAAACGTCAATGAATAATAATCTGAAAAACTACAAAATCCGTTCTAGAAAAAAGTGCATACAGACAAGTGGAAGCAGAAAATTTTGCCCCACACTATTCAATTAAGAACAGTATATGAGTAATAAATTTATTGTAGTTTACACAGCAACAAAGTCGTTGTAGTATAGTGGTAAGTATTCCCGCCTGTCACGCGGGTGACCCGGGTTCGATCCCCGGCAACGGCGTGACCTTTTATTATTATTATTATTATTATTATTTTTTTTCACGTTCATGCAAAATTCTTCTTCCTTAGCTTCCATATTAACGCCACAATCACTCCACATAGGTGACCTTTTATTATTATTATTATTATTATTATTATTTTTTTCACGTTCATGCAAAATTCTTCTTCCTTAGCTTCCATATTAACGCCACAATCACTCCACATAGGTTTTGAAGGAAGACGAAGCACCTTTATATGAGTTCCTCCCACTTGGACTTCATTTTCCCAGGGAATAGTTTTTGCTTTTTACATGTTTTTTTTCTTCTTCTTGATTTATCTATTGTAGCCAAAAACGAAAATATATCATTCATACTTTTTGTATTAAAACATTGCTTTTACTGAATACCTATTTAATAAATATATATACAAAAGGTTACGTGAAGGATGAATATGATTTGCATTACAGGTGATAATCATATAATCAAATTCTATAATAGAATAAAGCATACTTTATGCATACAAGTTATCTATCTTATAGCTAACCTTTTAAATATTATCAAATTTGTTCGAAAATATAGTGTTCATTTCACTATTACTCGCAATTATTTTTTTAATCATGTTATATATTCTAATATAGAATTGATAATTAAAATTAATTTAAATAAATATTTAATTACAAGAGCATTTTGAATTTTGTAGCCAACGAGTCCTTCTAGTATAGTGGTAAGTGATTCCTTTTCATTATTTTTGTATAGTACGTTTATGTCATTTGATTTTACGGGACATGATTGTATTGTTAGTAGACATGAATATTATTATTATTGATGATAATGGAAAGAACAAGTTGTATTGTACGGGTAACATAATTTCAAATGAAGACTAAAACATTTTTTTGGAAATTGAAATGTCTTATTCCAAAAAAGATATTTTTATTATCTCATCATAAATATGTCACAATTTTGTTTTTTTTTCAAAGAGACATGTAATGGTAAAACATCTTAATACTCCTGTGAATTTAATTCTTGAATTTGGTGATGTAGAGATGATAGTGTAACAACATATAAAGAAATGTATCTACATTTTGTTAAAAAATTAATTTACCTATCTCATATGAGGTCTAATATTACATTCATTATAGGTTAACTTGCTAACTTATGCATTGTTCAATAAGAGTTTACTTACAAATTATATAGAATTTTATAGTAACTTAGGAAACATAAATTTTACAATAACTTAAGAAACACTAAGAGAAAATATTTTAAATACAATAAAATTTTCGTTCTTGAAGCTTATATTGATATTGATTACTAGATATTGCTATTTTCTTGAAGATGTCGAAATTGAATTTTAAATTACAACAGACATTTGTAAATAATTTTCAGTTAAAATTATCTTAAAAGACTTAAACGTTAAACAAGATAAATATCTAACAATAATTCAAAAAGTAACATAACTCACAATCATATTTAACATGATCAAACAAATACATTGAATTGGATAAACATTTTAACAAGAAAAAATTAGATTACATTTTGATTTGTACTCCATATATACCTTGTAACAGTCAACCTGTGATATTTTAATTATAGTAATTTATTATCCACGTAATCATCATTATCATTTTTATTATTATATAATTATAAATAAATCACTTTGTTGAGTACTATACCTGAAAAAATTTAGAAAATACTAATTGTTTCCCTCTTCTCACATACACAACATATAAAACTAAGATGTGATATACATACAATAATTATATAACATCATTTGTTAAATATCATATTTATCTCTTATCTCTCTCTTTTAGTTGTACAAGTATAATTTCTCTAAAATTAACATAAAGGCATAATCTTTAAATTGAAAGAAATAATTGATATAAGAGTAAGCGCAAGTAATTGTGGACATTTTTACTGTTACAATATAAATATGCCTCTGAAAATGGCAAATTTAAGAGAAAGAAAAGGAGTAAGACAAAACTGATACCTACACCTGGTCCTATATCCTAGCTCCTCAGCATTATATTGCGTTCCGATAAATAGTGATACAACTAGCAAAACTCACAGTAACGCTACTGTACACTTTGATTGGCTAATGAAGTACAAAAATAAACACAAAATATTCTGTACAAACCTGTAGCTTTTCTAGTTACAAAATCGCCTTGTACAATTATTCCTATAATACAAAACAGATAACGTAATTGAGGCCTGCCTCTAGGTTCCAGACGATTATTTTACAAGATACTCGGAACTAAAGCCTTTAATTCGATGTTCCAAAGTTCCAACTTTCATTCTATGCCTTTCGATCACTGTCTTATTCTTTACTCCCCAATTAACAGATCAAGAAAAACCTGTACCATGTACAGAAGGCATCGCCGAATTCATAACTGTAATGATATTACTACTAGTTTTCTACTTATTCCTGAGCTTCTTTTCTTGGTAAAGTCTGTCTGGGGTAGAGAAGTATTGCCAATGACAAAGAAAATGCCAAACCAACTAAACCACTCAATGGTTGAAAAGGATGACTCCCGATTATCCAGAGAGGAAAGTTTCCCTTATTATGATATGTTAAAAAACCACACTTCTGCAACATAAAAGTGGATGCCATCATTCCTGTGCGAAGCCCAATAGGGACTAAGAGGCTACCTCCATTTCTCTGTTGGGTACCTGACAAAGCCAAAGCCAAAAACCAAAGTCCTGGTATTGCTTGCAGAGACCTGAAAACCCCATCAAAAGAGAAGATAAGATTTTGACTCGGAAGAAAGAGAATGAAAACAGAGGTGGAATATCAGGGCTGAATGATAAAAAGAATATGCTATCAATATTACAATAGGCTATAGCATTTAGTATAAATAGAGGTGGAGAGAATAATTCATAAAATGTGCTTAGGCATACAATTTTTCGGTAGTCAGCAGATTTAGCACGATTTGGTTTTTATAGAAGTGTAATGACCCTTTTATAACCAATTAGGTGGGGATTATTGTGTGGCTGGAAATGAATCAAGCCATACCTATTTAAAATGTGTAATGCATGATTCCAGGGAAGAAGACAAACCTCTGCAAGAAAGAAAATGCCAGCCCTGAAATGATAATTCCATGATGATATCCAAGATCAACTGCAATTTCCTGGGGCAACCATGACCTAAAAAGTAATTCTTCCACCAGTGCAATAGCACTAGCCATCATAGTTCCTTGAACAACCATCAGACCCATCTGTCCATACACTTTTACCCAAGTCATGGCATCTAAAGAAGTTGGAGTTTGAGGCCAAGAGAAACTTGCACAACCAAGAAATGTATTCACAGCATGGATTGACAAAATGAAGATGACTCCACCAACCAAGCCTTTCAAGAACTCAAAAAGCTGCAGCAAGGATCCAAAATTAGCTCATGCTTAAAGAATCAAGTAGACAAGTAATGCTAGTGAACAATATACTCAATAAAAATTTCATATCCTCCTGAAGCAACAGGGGTCGATTTCTATTGAAAATCACAAAAAATTGTGGATCCCATATCCTATTTAATGTTCTCTCGATTTTGTGATTTTAATAAATTTCAACCAATGAAATTGTATTTAAAAGAGTGTCTTGCTAGTACTCCTCTTCAAAGGAATATCTGGGTTAATGTCTCATATATTCTGCTGATATTACTCCCAGACTTATCCATGTTTTTTAATCTCAAATATTACCTTTTGTGGTGATGTCAAGTCCAGCCCATACTGTTCAAATGCATTTTTGTATCCACGGATTCTTTTACCCCATAACATAACAAGTATCACTGTAGCAGTGTACAGGCCAACAATGCAAGCAAACTCAGCTATTTTGGAAGAAGTCTTTGTTGACCAGCTCTGCACAATTGTAGGAAGCAATGGTATGGCAACAGGAGACCATAGAACGAGGATCATGCCAACAAACCCAAAAATCCTAGAAGAGAAAAAATAGTGAAGTTTGAGAGTTATAAAGATATAAATTCATATTCAGCCATTAAGCATAGATAGTAAAATATAAGGAAAATATACATTCACACTGTGCATAACTGCATATGTTGAAAAGCTACATTGGATGTGTTAAATAGCATATTTAATAGCTTTCATTAGAAATCAAGGAAGCAGTTACTTCAAAATAGGGACTTGCTTTATTCTTATGTATTTTGTGACTTATTTTGTTGTACATATGTACTCTTTCCGTAGGTCATTAGTAGTTTAGATTTAATTTTTTTTTTTTCAGGTCCTCTCTGCCTCATGCAGTTTGCATTCGTGGGTGAGTAGTACCCACAACCATCGTGCACCCCTCTTCCCTACCACTTTGACTGCCTTTCTCCAACGTGCGACCTGATTCAGCATCCTCCAACAACCATCATGTCGTCAGCCTTGCCTCAAACCACTGTTGCACACATCCTCACATACGAACTCTTGTGTCTCTGTCCCACACCAGTTTGACATGTGTGTCGTTTTCCAGCAAGTCCCCACTGCCTTCCCCTTATTCAGTTGCCCCTCTCCAGACCTACTTGGATTGATATCTCTCATTGCCTCTGATGGTTCCTCCTGGGATTTTGGTATTGCAGTGACTTTTGCCAACACCCCACTGGTTCTGTGTGAAAAGTTGATCGGGACAGCCAACTACATCACCTAGGCCACTGCTGTCCAGTTGTGGGTTCATGGCCAAGGGCATGAATATCACTCGACCAAACAAGTCAAGGATATCCCAACAAGGATCAGCCTGTTGAAAGCAAATCAATGCCTCTTTGTGCAGCGCGCTCTGGTTTTCAATTGCTCCTAAACTCCAGCAACAATATCAGGCCTTTAAAACCTATATGATGTCTGGGAAGAAAAAAAAGCCAGGAAAATTTAATCCAATAACGTTCACTGCTTCTACAGTATGATTTTCTATCTAATTTGGATCAAGTTGGAAAAAATGGATTTATAGACCTGAGCTTGTTTAATACTTTGAAACCTTCATGTCCTGAACAACACAACAAAATTTTCATGGTTCTTGCACTTGTGGATCTCCAGCCTGAACTTGATTTTGCTCTAAATAAAATGTTATCAAGATCCCTTATTCTCGCCTATGACACAATCAGTGAACAGCCTTTGCATCTCTCTACTCCTCTATCCCTCCTACTGATTCCCTTGCTCGGCTCCCACTCTTATCATCGTGGTGGCCAGCGCCGTGGTACTTGCTAAACTTATTGCAACTGTTGTGTCCATATTGAGGCTGAATGTCATATACCAAGGCTAGACAGTAGTCTAGGCTTGCTAATGTGGCTCAAGTTGCTTCCCCGGAACCATCAAGGATGATACTATTTCTATCGCTGAGCATATAATGATTTTCTCTGATTCAAGGTAGCCTAACAACTCATCTCACAAAAAACTACTATTGCTTGATCTGTAATCTGTAGCCTTTGTTTCTGAGTCTTTCTCTCTTGGACTTTGGATATCTTGACTTTGATGCTTTTGATCATATGAACGATAACAAACCATTTTTATCTCGTCCATCTTATTTGGATTCTTTGCCTTATGTTACCTGGGTAGATGCCTTTCAAATAAAAGTTCTAAGGAATGGGACAAAGTACAAACACATCCTCTTCCTAACCTTCATTTAAATTATGTACTTTATGTTTGTGAATGTCCTTTAAATTTAATATCATTTGCAAGCTCACTTGCACCATTGATTACTTTGTTCTTTTTGTTAATTACTTTGTTCTGGTCCAGGATTGGCATGTTGAATGAACATTTGGAGCAAGACATAAGTCTCAAGGATTAGATCAACTTTCATTACCAATTGTTTGTGTTTGTGTCTATGTTACCTTCCAAACTGTCGCACATCTACACTTAGGTCACCCTAGTCTAAATAAATTTCTTTGTATACCATTGATTACTATGTTAATAACTTTGTTCTTGTCCAAGATTGGTGTATTGAGCAAATAATTGGAGCAGGACAAAGTCTCACGGATTAGATCAACTTTCATTACCAGTTGTTTGTATCTGTGTCTGTCTCTGTTACCTTCCAAGGTGTAGCACATTTATACTTAAATCACCCTAGTCTAAATAAATTGCATGGTTCCTTATCCCTCAAATATTTCATCTTTATAGTGTGAGTCTTGTCAATTAGGAAACGTAGTCATACTTATAGTCATCAAGCCAATAAAAGTGCTCTGTCACCTTTTGTTTATTTTCACTTTGATATTTGGGGTCCTAGTCATGTCTAAATTCTACTAAAATATTCTGTAGTTTGTTCTCTAAATTTCCCCCTCTAAATTCAACAGGTTATGATGTGGCTAAATCGTTGCAGTTTCTATTTTCAACAGGTAATTCCAAAATGGAAAAGGCCAGAACTATTAGCACTACAGTTAACATATAACGAAATGAAGATTCACAAGTTCAAGTTACCTCTGAATCAAGGGACGTTCAGCAATACGTGAGAATGAGATAAGCCTGTCTGTCAAACTCAAAGCACCGCGTATACCACCCCATAGCAAAGCAATCTTTCCAACTAGCCTCAACAAGCCACCCCTTTGTCCTAAATCAGCTAGCATTGCAACCAGTCTGTTTATGGAGGGAAGTTGTGTTAAATTATTTGAGAAAAAAAACAGTGAAGCACTAGCATGTTGGTAAAATATGTTTTCTGACCTTTCTTGATCCACTTCACCATCTTCTTTAGTAGGCACAACTGGACCAGCAACTGACAAGGCTTTCTCAGCAAAGCTTGTGACTATGTTATTCTGGTTCTTCTCTGAGACCTCCTCCTGAAGTTGTTCTGGCCCTTTTGGATGATGAACTTTCATTTTCAAAGGTGTGGATAAGCTTTCAGCAGTTCCATTTTCTTGTTGGGGATCCTGGCACAGCAATTTTAAGTTTAAAACTCAGAAAACTCTGCTTACATGCAACTGGCAGATTAATTTAAAAGTAGTAAACTGCTATTCATCCCATAATACCTTCTGTTGCATGAGTAAAGCAGAAGCCCCAAGAGCAGCTGTAACTGCGCCAACCACAGCAGTATTTTTGCTTGTATCTTTTGATTCACTTTGTACTGCATTTGTCTGAATAGGATGGTCCAAACTAGTTTTCTTTTCAAGTACTTGATCTATCTCTGTTACACCTCCAACGCCATAATTATTTATGCTAGTTTTTTCCCCATCATCATGGATCACAGATCTTCTCTGGTCATCTTGAAGTGTAGTTACATTAAAATATTCCCTCAGGGAAGCTAAGATGGACCCAACAATAACACCAACAGGCATCACTTTTCTCAAGCAGATTGTTTGCTGAACAGATGATGAAATTACACTAATGATTTGCTCCCCATCAAGAGTACCTACCTTTTCTATAGCACCCTCAACATTTTGAACCTCACTTTCAGTGTATAGTTGTTGCACCTGGCTATGTACAACAGTCTGTGAAACTGCATTTGCCACTTGTTCCAGATCTTCATAAAGCTTTGATTTAATTTCTATCATTTCTGCAGCATTCAGCCTGCGACCAACTTCCATTTTCAAAGAATTTAGCACTCTCTTGTTTACAAATTGGATCAATTCATCTGACCTGCCATCACTGGCATCATTCATTCTGTTATCAGTGTCTATTGAAATGAACTCTGTGACAGGTTTTTGTTGTTTTTCAGTATCTAATATTACATATGGTGGTTCAATATATTGATCTGTATTAGAGGATTTTTCAGATGAGGGGGCCTTCTTGTGCCCAGCCTCCTCACATGTTTCAGTATTAGAAGAAGCAATTTCCACGTTTTGTGGTTGTTCAAAGAGTTTCCATTGGCCTTCTTCTGGAAAATAGTCAAGCAATAATGCAGTTGTTGTGTCTAAATCAAGTGACTTGGTAGGAATCTTTGAAACAAGATATTTACTGAGGTATTCATTGTAAGGAGAACCACCATATGAATCTGTAGCTATGAACTCTGACATCCTATTCACATGTCTCTGTCCATCCCATTTATCAATGAGAAATCTTTTGTCAGTCAGTTGTGTATTTGTATTACTTTCCTCGTGAACTAGGTGATCATTAGAGTTACAACTTTGAGAATTGAATACACCATTCCCATTAATTTCACTGAGGCTTTGAGCCGGTGGGTCCCCTGTATGACAAGAACCATTCTTCTTATAATCCTTTCTCTGGTTATTAGCTTTTTGATTTACTTCTATCGTGTGTTCAACATCTTGTCCATCCTTGACTTTATCTCCATTCTCTGATCTCTGCTCAAGCTGAGATAACATATTTTCTATCACACCAAAGACATTATTAACAGCCACTTGGGTGGAATCATCTATCCCTGCTAAGGCATCCAATGCTTGAGAAACACTGAAGGCAGGGGCATTGGAATCTGAATTATTAGTGTTAGATTGGTGTGAAATATGCTGTGTATTCTTGTTTTCTTTTTTCTCAATGTCGTTGCCTTCCCTTTCTATATTTTGGTGCTCAGAAGACATAGAAGTAGAAGAGAGTTCTTCTTTTGCATCAGTTGAAGTTGTTGTACTCTGATCGCTAGAGAAAACCTGAGTTGTCTGTTCAATCTTCAGGATATTATTTTCCTCCATTGAGTCTGTTTGAGTTATTCCACTGTTTAGGTTTTTCTGCTCACTCGTAGCTGCTGATTCAAAGCCACCTGCTCCATCAGAATGGATGGGAGTGTATGGTTTAGAACCTGGTTCCAATCCATTCTTGCTATGATCAATATCAGGAACAGCTTTTCCTTTTGATTCCTTTGTGTCATTGTTATCATTAGACTCGTCATTTTCCTTCCTTAAAAAACCAGAAGAACCAACTTCATCATTAGATTCTTGAGACTGAGTTAAATTTGTAGAATTTGGTGATCTCTCTTCGGGAATAACTTCTGTTTCTGTTCCTTCAGCAAGCTCACCAGTGCTACTTGGACCATTATCAGATCCATCTACAGGACTAGTAGTATTTTTCATCTGATTCACAGAAGGCTGATCTTCAACCATAACTTCAGTATCTGATACTCTGAAATTTTCTTGGTTATTTGGCCTTTTTGATGATTCAGAAACCTGAGAAATACTAGGAATCCTATGAACCTTCAACTCAGAGCCCCTAGCATGCAAAATTCCATTCACTGCATCTGTTAACTTCCCACGGACATCTTCTGGAACAGCATCTTGCAGAGCTTTCATGAGTGTCTCTCCTTGACCCACAGCAGTTAATACCTAGAAATTTGTTACAAGTGTCACTGTAATTACAACATTCTAAAACTAAGCTACATTCTAGATAAACCATTTAAGATGTTACATAACACTAAAAATGGAATAAAGAAAACCAAATGAGTGCATGCCAAATATTTAAAGATAAATAAAGACTGAAGACAACTTGTTCTAACAAAATGTCCAGTAAATAAGAACTATTTTTTTTTTACATACTCTTAACAACATGAATCACACACACAGTTCACAGAAATTAAGAAGCTAACAACTTATAAATAGAAGATGAGAACTTATTCTAGTTGATTCTCAAAATTTTAGCTGTCATTGATATTTTACAGAAGAATAAAAATAAAAGAAAAAAGCAAGGAAGAATATACGTCAGATTCTCTTCAAACAGTGAGATAGTACCAAAGTTTTTGATAAATCATAAATGATTGATAAACTCCAAAAGACAAACTACCCTAGTTATTTAGAAGTGTGTATGTTATCTACTAAAGAATCTGAGCATAATATACTTTGATAAAGTTTTCTTCTTTTCCTTAAAACTTTTATCTGTGAGGTTACATCTTAGATAAGCATTGCATCTTATCTTGGTTATTTCTTTATTCCTTTTATTTCTTTAATACTTAAAGGTTTTGAAACCCCACAGAAAATAAATCTTTTTAGCAGCAGCAGCTACATGACTTCAAGTGAATAGGAAGGTACAAGTTACAAATATTTAATTTTAAAAATGTATTTCTTGAGAAATAGACACAACTGAAGAAGATTCTGGAAAATTCTACCCCTTCCCCAATATTTACTAGAAGTATATGAAAAGAAAATGAAGGATCATAAGTAAAATCTGAATGATATAAATATTAAATCTTTAATAAAATTAAAAGAAAAAATACAGCCAGAGGATGGATGTTCAAACATCTATTGCAACCCATTTTTAGCAAATAAAAAAATCCACAAAACATGCTCATCCCTTAGTCTTCAACCCCACCCCTGTGGCCCGTATGTTTTCAAGGTTAAACGTGCAAGTTCTTGTAATGAAGCCAATTACAGAAAAGACAAATCAGGAGAATGTGGGGACAGCTGGTAGTGGTCACGTGGCAGTGGATACAAATGATGAGAAAATAAGAAAAAGCTCGCGACCCAAAATAACCAACGTACGGTTAGAAGAATATGTTTGGCAAGGCAAATAATATAAAGATCAGGCTGATTGGAGAGAGAAGGCATAAATGGGAATTGTTGGTAGAACCTTCCTCTCTCTTGGGGTTCATTTCATTGCATTTCTGTTCGTCGTGGTGCTCTGTAATTACTGCTATACTGATAGTAGTATTCATTTTCTTGTAAGAAATCCACACTAAGTAAATAATACCATTACAGAGTTTATTCCATTCTACATATTACTCTCTATTACTTGCGTTTGCTGTTGCCACTGTTTCATTGGTGCTTTCGTTGAGAGATGGCGGAAAACACGCGCCTGAAGGACCTCGCCTCCGATATGAAGCGTTTGTTGGAAATGATGGAATCCCGCGACAAGGAGTACTCGACCCGTTTTGAAACGATAGAATCAGCGGTGGAGGAGATGCTGAAACGCGTTTCGCAGGTGGAGTCTAGCTCTTCAAACCCACCCTTTCAGGTTCGCAACATTAAACTAGATTTTCCCCGTTTTGATGGATCTGATGTTCTCCAATGGATTTTCAAGGCCGAACAATTTTTTGATTATTACCATACACCTGATGCACAACGATTGACCATAGCTGCGATACATTTAGACAAAGATGTGGTTCCGTGGTTCCAGATGATGTCAAGAGCTAATGCTTTTCAGTCATGGGTTGCATTCTCAGCAGGGTCTTCTATTTTGGAAAGGAAGATTAGTTCTTCCAGCTGATCATTCCTTAATCCAACAGGTGTTACAGGAGTTTCACGGTTCTGCCACAGGTGGTCATGCTGGTTATTCCAGAACTTTGGCTAGAATTTCTTCTCAATTTTATTGGCAAGGGATGAATGTTGTTATTAAAGAGTTTGTTCAAAATTGCTTGATTTGCCAGCAAGCAAAGACCTCTAATACTCTTCCTTCGGGGTTACTACAGCCACTCCCTATTCCGAATTTGATTTGGGAGGACATAGCTATGGATTTCATCACTGGACTTCCCTCATCTCATGGCTTCACAGTAATCATGGTAGTAGTGGATCGGCTATCTAAGTATGGTCATTTCTCTCCTCTGAAAACAGATTACACCAGCAAGCAGGTGGCAGAAAGCTTTGTGACTACTGTGGTTAAACTACATGGATTTCCAAAAACCATAGTTTCAGATAGAGACAGGGTTTTTACTAGCCAATTTTGGCAACACTTATTTAGGTTGAGTGGCACAACTCTTAGCATGTCAACTGCTTATCACCCTCAATCTGACGGACAATCTGAGGCTCTAAACAAGTGTTTGGAAATGTATTTAAGGTGTTTTACATTTCAAAACCCGAAAGAGTGGCTCAAATTCTTGCCGTGGGCAGAATTCTGGTATAACACTTCCTATCACCACAGCGCTGGTATGAGTCCTTTTAAGGTAGTATATGGAAGAGATCCCCCTCAGCTAGTCAAATATGTGCCTGATCCAGCAGATTTGACTTCAGTCCAGGAGCAGTTGTTGCAGAGAGACATCATTCTGTCCAAACTTAAGCATAATCTTCATCGAGCTCAACAAATAATGAAGAAAAATGCGGATCAGAAACGGATGGATGTGGAGTTTAATGTTGGAGACAAAGTGTTGGTCAAGCTACAACCATATAAACAACACTCAGTTGCCTTGAGGAAGAACCAGAAACTAAGTTTGAGGTACTTTGGCTCATTCCCAATTATTGAAAGAATTGGCAAGGTTGCTTACAAGTTGTTGTTACCTGAGACTGCTAAGATTCATCCAGTCTTTCACATCTCACAGCTTAAACTATGTAAGGGACATCATTCTCAATCTTATGTTCCATTACCTATCACTTCCAATGATGCACAACCAGTACTACAACCAGCTGCTATTCTTCAGTCTCGGGTGATTATCAAGGGCACTAAGCATGTTCAACAACACTTAATCCAATGGGAGGGATTGGATAACTCTCAAGCAACTTGGGAGGATCACACTGCATTAGAATCTGCATTTCCAGAATTCAACCTTGGGGACAAGGTTGTTCTTAATGGGGGAGGAAATGTAATGAAGCCAATTACAGAAAAGACAAATCAGGAGAATGTGGGGACAGCTGGTAGTGGTCACGTGGCAGTGGATACAAATGATGAGAAAATAAGAAAAAGCTCGCGACCCAAAATAACCAACGTACGGTTAGAAGAATATGTTTGGCAAGGCAAATAATATAAAGATCAGGCTGATTGGAGAGAGAAGGCATAAATGGGAATTGTTGGTAGAACCTTCCTCTCTCTTGGGGTTCATTTCATTGCATTTCTGTTCGTCGTGGTGCTCTGTAATTACTGCTATACTGATAGTAGTATTCGTTTTCTTGTAAAAAATCCACACTAAGTAAATAATACCATTACAGAGTTTATTCCATTCTACATATTACTCTCTATTACTTGCGTTTGCTGTTGCCACTGTTTCAGTTCTCCCTCTGCCTTGTTCTCTAGCAGAAAAGATAATTAAAATAATGGAACAAAGAAGAAAGAAGACCTCCAAACACAAATATGACATGCAAATAAAACTTTATGCTCTACCTTTTTCTTCCTCGCTTCTGTTAGAGTACCAGGCATGGTAACATCAAGCATATTTATTACCACTTGTGCTGTCTGTAGAACTTGACCATGTTCACTAACTACCGAGACAACATTCCCCTCTTCAATCAAATCTGCATCACTGGAGCTAGTCTGCTGTAATGGACCATCTTTTAGCTGTAAGCTCATACCATCTTGCTCAAAGTTCCGCTGTAGACCTCTTTGGGACCTAAATTGGAGGCTAGTGTTATTCTTATTTTCTTCAAGAAAATATTTATTGGGATCAATAGAGTATCCATTAAATGCATCTGACCGAGTAAGATCCAACAGTTTGCCAACTTTAGCATCTTTATCTGACCTTACTTCCTCTACAACAGCTAATTCTTTAGAAGGATTTATGGTAACATCTATATCTGTCAGAAGAGGATGACGGCCCTTCAAGAGTCCCAGCTCCACTGCTGTGAGCCACTGTATATATAACACATCAGATTATCACTTTCATGAATAAACTTGAAAACCTAACATTAAACAAAGGGAAAATAAAATAAATTAATTATGATAAGAGAACCTTTTTTTCTCACACGTATCACGGGAACTAATAAATATAGCAAGAATATAGGTTTTGCACGGAAGCTATGTAACCTCAGATCAAGATGAGAAAGATGTAAAGCAAATTCCCATTAATAAAATATCAAAATTGAATCAACCATCAAATGGGTAAAGGTATATGTATAAGGTTTTGAGGTTCAACTGGGATTAGGACAAGAACTCATAAAAGAAATGAAGAAAATCTGTATAGCTATACCCAAGCCAATAAACTAGAGAAAGAGAATAACACTTGGTATATTTAGAGTATCTCACACTCTCAACTTTATTCCCAATTCCCCTGTTTCCTACTCTCCTCTTATTTAAACTACTTGATCTTAGGTAGTTACCCACCCTTGTACAATCAGTTATTAGTTACATTTTGTACCATTCCCCCTCTTCATCCCTTGCTTATCCCTCTTGACACAGACCCATTTAACAAATGGTCTGCTATCAATAAGACACATACTCGTCCACAACTAGATAGAGAGAAATAGTTACCTCAATTGTTAGAAGCTGACACCATGATAAAGCAGACATGTCAGTAACACTAGATGGCAAACATGAACATAGGAGTAGACTTGTGAATGGATTTTCTGCAATCAGATTCCGTGGAACGGAGAATGTGGGAACCATCCCATTATCACTCTGATAAAACATATATCACTGGTAAGACTTTGTGCATTTGCATAGATGCATAAATAAATTAATACCTAGCAAATAACAAATAATATGAAAACGCCATTGTTTAGAAAAACAATAGAGTCTTATAGAGAACATTTATTCATGTTAGACAGTTTAAACATGTCATGAACTAAGATTTGTAGATTATTTGTTATTTCTTAAGCACTGTCAAATCCTACAGAAAAGAAAGGGAGAGGAGAGGCAGAAGAAAGGCTGTTACCAAATATAAGTCCAATCACTCACATTTATTTTGCAGACTGTTTTATTTAGTTCGTATAGCCATACATCTCTGTATATTATCCAAGAAACAAGTCTAAAGTCCCTGTATATTTAATTGAATTATAATACAATCAGAGACAATGGAGTCATTCAGTCAAAATTGCATCTTATCAAGATGCCAATATTCTCTCTGCTGCAAGAAGTGCAAGTAGAATGTCAATGGAATTGCTTGTGTTCTCTCTTTGTATGTGGTCTCCCTTGTCTAGGTTCTGTCTTGTTTCTATCTCTATTTTTGGGTGTTATCTGGTCTGAGCAATTTTATGGATTTGGGTGGATAGAAAACATATGAATATAGTAGAACTTCTTCATTACTTTGAAATGGATGGTAGTATCTGAATTTTGTGTTAAATTACTAGAAAGTATTATGCGACCTGGGAATTTCATTTCAATTGTTTCCCACTGGAAAGAAATAATGGGAGCATACAGATGGCACTGTTCCAGCTCCAACAGATGCAACAAAATCTGGCAGATGGAAAGTCAAAGGTGCTAGGGTGATGTCATGGTTATTGGGCCGTCTGATGTCTTGGTTACACCCATATAAGACTGCTAAAACAATGGAATATTTTAAAAAGGTTTATAATCAAACAAATTCAATTCGAGGGTAACATGGCAAATTACATTCAGGGAAGCATGTCAATTCCGGGATATTTTCTTGTTTTCAAAATTTATGGCCTGAATTTTCCCCCATTGTTTCTCTTACAGTCTAAAAATATTCTCTTTTTAAAGTTTTGTCTGTTCTAGGGTGATGTCTTGGTTTGGTTTGTCAGATGATCAACTTATTTGTAATTTACACCCATATAAAAATACTAAAACAATGTGGGAATATTTTAAAAAAAGTTTTATAACCAAAGGAATTCAATTAGAGGATTTTTATTGGAGGGTAACATGGAAAATTAAATCCAGGGAAGCATGTCTATTCAGGAATATTTTCTGGTTTTCAAAATTTATGGCCTGAAATTTTCACCATTATTTGTATTACAGTCTACAAATATTCTCTTCTTGAAGTTTTGTCTGTTCATGAGGTTAGCAAATGTGAATAATTTTTTGATAAAGCTGCTACCAGATTTTGATAATATTCGTTTTAATTTGATGAACTGTCATCTTCCTCCTGATTTGGATGTGTGTTGGTGAGTTGTTTCATGAAGATCACTGTCTTCTTACCCAAACCACTATTTAACAGGAAAAGTTGACAACATCACCTATGACTTTTTCGGCTCAACAAAAAGGCAAGGTAGTAATATAAGTAAGATTAGTGTTTATTTGCAAGAATTATGGTCACATCGCACAAATTGTACCAAGAAATTCTGCAAAGTCAGGACATGTCATCAAAGTGCAATTTACCCCCAATCTTGCTTGGACAATTCTTTTACTGGTCAGATTACGGCTAGGAGTAGGACTTTGACTACTATTACAGTCAACAACAATGCTGAACCAACCGTCTTTACTGTTGAAATGGTGCAACAAATGATTATTTTCATCCTTCTTAACTTTGGGACTTCAAGGTAATAGAGAATTCTCATATAAATATTTGCTTATTGATTCTGCAGCATTAAATCATATGATTAGCTCAGCAAATTTGCTGAAAAACTTGTATCATAGTCATACCACAATTCAGCAATCACCACATATCCAGGTTGCTGATGGAAACACTACTAATTACTATTGTTGAAGATATTATTCCAAATTCCAACACTCTTTTTACATCATATGGACTCCATGAGAATCTTCTTTCAGTTTTAGTAGAAAATAATTGTAATGTACATTTTTTTTAGGATACTTTTTGTGTTGTATGGAGGATCAGGTTTCGAGGATATTTATTGCAAAGGGTCTAAATTTCAACTTCTATTTCTGCTTCATATTTATGAGTTTAATTTTCATGCACGGTTAGTGTAAAGATTTTTACATAGTGAACTAATCTTAAACCATTTCAAGTGTAACTTTTATTATAAAAACTCAACATAATTAGCAAAATGCACAGGATGCTAGTAATCAAGTTTGGATTTAAGTAGATAGTGGAATGCTTACCTGAATAAAGAGAACAGGAATTTTAACATCCCTAATCATATTTCTTGTGCTGGATATTGAATAAAAATCTTCTATAGCCGTAAACCCATAAGATACCATAGATATCGCTTCTTCAAAATCACGTACAGATTTTGACAACAGAGCCTTTTCCACGTCAAAACCTTTAGTTTTGCCTTGGAATAGTGCCTACAGAATTAGTGCGTGTAGGTAAGTCATAATTGCAGGCATTAGGAGATATTTGAAGTATAACAAAAAATAAAAATGTCTACATCCATAAAAAATTTCGCATGGGACATCTTGATGCAGGCTAGGTTGAAAGGGGGAACAGGTGGATCTGAAGATTGAAAGCAATTAATCTACCTTATTGGTTTGTAGAATATCTATCAGTCCACCAGTGAGTTTCTGATCAGTAACAATGTGATAAGGATAGGACCTTGTAGCTTCATCTAAATCAAAAGGATTGTCTATACATGTGGCAGCTGTCAATGGTGTTCTTTCTCCAACCTCTGCAAGGTATTTTGTCAGCATGTTTGCACCATATCCCCAGCCAACACCCATCAAGGTTGTCCATGGTCTTGAGTTGTTGATATACGTTATAGCTGTGCAGATATCATCGCTGTCAGCAGCTGTAAATAACCTACAGAAGATGAAGTAGTTAAGAAGTCCTTCCCATTGTCTTATCTTTTATAACTAGGTAAAGCGAAAAAGGCAATCTCAATCCTTAATAAGAAACAACCAAATTCCAAATACCAGGACTGGAGAAAGAAAAGGAAAAAGACAAAGGCATGGAAGTAGATAATCCTTTGGTTGGTTGGATGAGAATGGAAGAGAAGCAGTCCGCCTGTCCCCAAGAGTAGGACACTAACCCACCCACCATCAGTACCAAAGAGAATGATGATTTTCTATGAAAGATTTGGCTCCTCCTCCGAGGAAGTGCACTTTATTAAAGAATATAAATGAGTTATAATTGTTAGAGATTGTGATACAAACTATAGTCCTGTTTAGATAAACTTCTTTGTAAGCAGATAAACACTTAGGCACATAAAATGAATTGAACTTTTCTCATAAGCGCATAAGTTGACTTTAGCTTATACGAGAAGTTCAATTCATACGTTGGTTTTAAATTGTAGGAGAAACTCAATTCACCTCATCTTAATTTCTTACTTTTTCTTTTTCCTACGAGTACATAGGGAGAATCTTATCCAAACAATTCTTCTGCAATTGCTAAAATGATAAAATCCCAATAGCTCAATTTTTAATCATCGGTTATAACAGGTGCACTCTCTTCCTAAAGGAGAGCTAAATCCAGCCATGAACCCATTGTCAGAAATAAGATACTACTCTCACTTAATTTTCCACTTCACCAATTCCTAAAAGAACTAGCATGTCCAACGAATACATAAACCCGATCCCATTACATGATAGCACAAAAGTCGACTACAACGAACTTGTAGTTTCCTAACCTAACAACACTAGTTCCAAACAAGAATTAAAAAACAAGTGTTGTCAATGTTACCGGGGAGTAGTGAGAGGCGAAGCAGCACATCCTCTAGGGTTCATGACAACGGGGAAGAACCCTCTCTTGAGAGCCTCCACCACAAACAACCTGACGTGAGCGTCCATGCTCCCTTGCGGCGTACCGGGAACAAGCAACAGCGTGGAGTCCAAGCCACGCTCCTCTTCCAAGTCCAAGTTCGCAGGCCAATCCAACGAACCCCCGCCTCCATCCTTCGCACTCACGCAGACTCTCTGATACCTCACCTCCGAGTCCCTCTCCCTCTCTCCCTCTCCGCCTTTCACGTGAATCCTCCCGCGGTTGACGCTCACGTAGTGGCGCTCCTCCAAAACGAGCCTCTCGGCGGCGGCGAGCGATATGGAAGGGCAGCGCAGCAGCACGAAGCGGTTGAAGGGCGTGGGAGCGGCGAAGAGGATCCACTCGCCGACGTCGGAGGCGGCAGAGGCGTATTTGAAGCGCGAGAGGAAGATTGCGGCGCCGGAAGCGAAGCCGAGAAGGGGAGTTATCAAATCGAGGGAATTGACGGAGGGATTCTGCGCGATGAGGCTGTGGAAGAGATTCTCGAAGGGCGCAGGCGAAGGTGGGAAGGAGGCGCTGGTTTTGAGCCTTCGGCGCCTGAACACGCGAAACGCGCCAGGTCGCACGGATTTGGCGGGTACCAAGGAAGTTACGCCCAGTACCAACATGCTTATTAATTAACCCATGGCCATACTCGCATCACATGTTTAGATATGAGAGAGAGGTTCATCATTATTCATTTCATATGGTTGTGGTGAACTTTAAGTGTGAACCGCGCCGTAACGGGGGTGGCTTCGACGGTCCAAATTCCGTTGTCCCTTAGTGTATGGTTAAGTTAACGTCTATCGTGTCACGCGTTCACCGTCTGTTGCTATCGCCTAGATTGCTCTTTTTTGTTTCCTCATAATGCTTGCATTGAATTAAGTACTTGCTCATGTCATATCGGTTGGATTGGAGTGTGGAAACGGAAAAACATAATTCCTTAATTAATGGCGCTGACGTTTTTTTAATCAACAGAAAGGCCCATTTTCATGTCCAGTTTTGAACCCATCTTATATTTACGATGTTCAAGGGTCCAAGTCATTAGGATTTAGGCCTGGACCACACCTTCTTGTTAGTGGGCCTGTATAGTGTTTACAACGTGTTTTCTTGTCCTTCGTTTATTTGCTCATTACCAAGAATAAATAAATAAACAAACAGAATAATCCGGTCTCAATTTATAGCCCCTCAATCGAGTCCTTTCTTATCTACTTCATGTTATTGTTGTTGCCCAGAACCATACCACTGTTGTAGCCCCTCGACGCTGCTTCATAGTTGTTGTCAGTACAATTTTTGTGAAAGCAGTGCAGTCATTCAATTTTATTTTATTTTTCATGTTTTTATTTGGGTTAATAAGCTTCTTACAGAAGCTTTTTGAAAAGGTTACTTATTTTTTTATTTACCTTCTTTTTTTAAAAAAAAAAAGTTCAAGAGCTTTTATTAAGAAGTATCTGACGCAACTTTTACTTATTTAGAGAAATTAAGCTAAAAATAAGTTAGGTTAAACATACCTTTAATATTTTTAGTTTTTAACTCAACTCAACTTGTGGAATACAAAACCGAGAATTTTCTTTCATGACTAAATGTATGGAAGTTTGTTTGAAAAAGTTAATTATGTGTTTTAAATTTTATTAATCTTTTTTCGGCAAGATAACGAAAAAATCACTTTTATGATATTTTATTTTGTTTTCAAAAACTAATCTTTCTAATATATGGAAAAAAAATGCTTTTGTGAGTTTTAGTTTTTTTTTTTAAAATATATAATTATCTTAAAAATGATTTAACATGTTTTTCTATATGGAAATATTGTCATGATGAACTCAATTCATGGAAGCGACTATTACATTATGAAGGAAACGGATTTGGTAGCTAGTTATCTATAATCACCCTCATAGCCCATCACGGAATTCAGATAAACCTATCATTATGCTAATCCATCAATCATTTTGAATGCTGATTCATCTGAAATGATGGATTAAGCTAAAGCACATGGATAAGATTTAATTTAGCACTGATCCATACGCAGATTCCCATTTATGTCTTAATCAAGCACATGCTGTGTTTCACTCATAATCAGCTATAAAAACCCTACTTTCATATCCATGTTGTTTGTCTTGTCTTTATATTAGGCATTCCTTGTCTTATTTGAATACAATGTTCTTTTACTGGAAAGTTGATGCACCACGTAAAACTATTTACTTGAAAACAACAACATGGTAGAAGCTACTCAAATCTCAATACTCATAAATTACTCAAATTAGCCTAGTTAGCTAAAGTGCTACGTTGCGCATGATGAGATTTGTGCACCTCCAATTGAAATCATATTGCATCATATTAATCCACACTTTTCGGTTTAAGCCATATATATCCAGCGTAGATTAACCTTTAATTATTAACTTTGAGATAATGGACTGATGAGAAAAAAGAAAAATTAATTAGGATGTCTATCGTGAATTCAAAATGCAAAACGAGGCATGATATTTAGAACAAAATTCAAGTTGTCTTGGTACATCGTCCAAACATGGGACATGCAATTGTATTATATGGAATCTAGTAGCTATTGGCCCATTTGCAAACATTATCATGCTGCTTTATATCTTCATGTTGATACGTTGATTTTTCCCTTCAAAAAAATTGATACCGAATCAAAACATAAAAAGATCAAATTTGCTTTCTTGCCGCAAAGAGCAGTAGATTTGACAACACCTCCTCCCCCGCAAAAGTCAAATCATATAGCTGTATCTTACTATCTTCATGGTAAATTTAACTCCTTTAATACGAGCAACTCTCGTTAAAAAATAAAATAAGCAATTTCAGTTATTAATGAAAAACTAACAACTTATAATAAATGCACCCATAGAACGTACAAGTGAAACCAAATCCTTTCATGTACATAACCTTTCCCTCTAATTAGCAGCAACTCTGTGGACAAGTGATCTTATGAATCTAGGTCCAAAAGCATTAATAAGCTAACTAATAATTAGGTCATGCCCATGAGTGATTATTAAAATAATGAGGAATCCAAAGAAAAGATTTTCTCAACAAACTGACATACGATGTATAGTAGCTTCTTTATAGACATATAATTCATCATCACTCGGCTCCCAAACAGTGTATGAAACAAAATTAAACCATCCAAAATTATTTATGGCGCGCCTACCTCCAAAGTCCAGATTATTGGGATTTTAATTCTAAAGTTATATGTGTGCAACCAAAGTTATAGAGATGCTGATTAATTGGCAGCAACTTAGCATCAAGCACATGGGAAAGAGATTGCTATTAATCCAACAATGATCCTCATGTACATGAAAGCATCCAAAATTTGAGCCTTTAAAACCCTTTTTATTGGGTTTTCCAATAAAATGCTGAGTAACATCAAGCACATGGGAAAGAGACTGCTAATAATCCAAACAACGTTCAGATTTTAGTTTAATTAGTTTAAACCATGCATGCACATGCTTACTTTATATTCTTCACTTGTCTGCTTTCTCTTTCTTCAAATCCAATTTGCTTGTCTCTTTATACAAATGCAATGTTTTTAATAATGTTCGCATCATTAAGGACTAATATTTTGAAAGAGAGAGCATAATACAAACTAGAACTAGCTTAAAAGCATTTAATAATTGCAAACTAGATTGCTAAATCTCCAATGGGAGGAGAATCAAATTGCAATACGGTCCAAATTGATCATTAGCCTCCCTTTACTGACTCTGACATAAAACTAAATTGTCCCTAACCTCGTGGATCAAGTTAAATTATAATTAATTATATGTGGATAATAATTATGTTTAGGGTTTTTGGCACATAATTATGTGGGGTTTCAATAATTCATGACATGGAGAATCTATCTATCATGTACATTCAGAAACATCCCTAAACGTGCGCATGATTTTCTTCTTCTCAGAGATGCCTACTTATTTATGACTTTCAACCTTGCGCCATGCTTCATTTTCTTCATATTGGCGTAATGTCGACGTAACTCAAGGAAATGCTATTTATAAGTTATTTGCAATTTCCTTAATCAATCATCACAAAGAGCTTAGTCACATAAGATGACAATATTATGTTCGGTGTCTCCGCGATTGAAGAGAATATCATTATTATTATTAGAATAAAGAGATATTATGTAGCTTTCTATATTTTTTTTTTCTAAAAACAAAGAGATATTAGTGTTAAGAAAGTGAGAACCAACTTATAAACATTTTGTTTGTCTTATCATTAGTTAATTAATGTGAAATTTTTGACATACTTTCTCACGTCAAGTAAACATATCAAACGTAAAAATATGAAATTTGTAAAACTGCACATCAGTAGATTGATAATGATCCAATAATAAGTGATTTGATAAATTCAATAATAATTAATAATTGTTATAATAGATTCTTGAATATTATCTTAAAAAAGTGAATTGAAATTTAAATCAATCTTACAAAATTTAAAAACTGACTTATAAGACATGAATTATTTTTTATTTATATATATTATTATGTATATATCACTGATCAATGTGAAATCTCTGCATGAGATATTTGAGAAATTTAGAAATAAAAATTATCAAAAAAGTAAAGAAAAAGTGAAGAGAAATTAAAAAAGAAAGTGAAAGAAAAATAGCAGTTTAGAGTAAATTATAAGAGTAAAATAGTTTTAAAACTATGCACACACAAAAAAAATCATTATATATATGCATAAATTATTATTATTATTATTATTATTATTATTATTATTAATATTAATATTATAATTAATATTATTATTATTATACCAGAGGTGAAACTTTGCAAAATAATATTTTATAAAATTTAATTTTTATCTATCTAATTATTGAATCACGTCTTATTATATATCTTGATGCTGTATTATGTATAGTAAATAACTTTGTATTTGTTTGATATTTTCCTTTCTTTTAAGTTTTAACCGAAAAATATAATTTAATTAAATAAATTTACTTTTTTTATATGCTGCTAATAATTTTTATAAGTTTTTTTAGGCGTGAAGTGGTTAAATTTTTATATTTTTATATACTTATATTTATTTATTCAAGATGGTGAATTTTTTAATGCTTATATCATGGTTTTATGATAAACTAATTTTAATTTCAGAAATTTAATTTGTATTTTAATTATTAAATATTTTTATTTTTAAAATTATTGATATGTGTGCCATTATTTATTTGATATTTTTTGGTTAAATTTTTTTAAAATTTTGTGGTATATATAATGTCATTATATTAATGACTTGGTTAATTTTTAATTTTTAATAATAGATTATTCTTATTTTATCATTTTTAAAATGTAACAACATATTATAAGTATTTATGTAGCATTCTATTCAAAACACTTTAAAATTGTGTAAGTGTATATTTATCATGTATATCTAAACACAAATAACTTTATTAAATTTTAAGTACTTATAATTATAATTCTAATTATATAATAGTAAATGTATAATTCAGATTAAAATATATTGAATATATATATATATATATGATTATTTTAAAAAAAAAAAGTATCTCTCGTGTTTAAAAAAATAATATACGTAACTTAGTTTATTAAGAGTGAGCAAGTTTATAAAGTAAAAATATAAGAAAGCACACTATTAGTTTTTTTATCAATAAAAAAATTACAATAATGATAATAAAAATTAAACTTAAATAATCATATATTTATCTTAATTTTCCCACGACCAAACCGACTACAGTGATATTAATTGTACCATTGATTTAAATAAAAACTTGTAATCTTGATAAATTTTAAATTAATAACAAAAACTTTGTAATCTTGATTAATTGTTTTATAATTTTTTAGTCTTACGTTGAGATTATTATAATCCATTAATTTTGAGGGACAAAAAGTTGCGCATGTATATTATATATTATGTACATAAAAAGTATATATTATACATAACACATTCAATAGTAGCACA